TAAGCACAAAACTATGTAATGGGCAACTTGCTGTTTAATTTTTGGATTACACAATATATTGGTGTTGCTGTTTAATATTTGGATTACACAATATACTGGTGTTGCTGTTTAATTTTTGGATTACACAATATATTGGTGTTGCTGTTTAATATTTAAATTACACAAGATATTGGTGTTGCTGTTTAATATTTGGGTTACACAATATACTGGTGTTGCTGTTTAATTTTTGGATTACACAATATATTGGTGTTGCTGTTTAATATTTGGATTACACAAGATATTGGGGTTACTGTTTAATTTTTGGATTACACAAGATATTGGTGTTGCTGTTTAATATTTGGGTTACACAAGATATTGGTGTTGCTGTTTAATTTTTGGATTACACAAGATATTGGTGTTGCTGTTTAATATTTGGATTACACAAGATATTGGTGTTGCTGTTTAATTTTTGGATTACACAAGATATTGGTGTTGCTGTTTAATTTTTCTAATTAATTTTCTTACTTTTTTATTCAGTTTAGCCTTTTTTATTATGCATACTTTCTGGAGTTAAATTTTTATTTATTAGATATTTCTTCCCTAATTTGAATATTTGTTTGGATCTCTGTTTCGAAGTGGTTTAGTCTACGATAAGTCTTTATCCAATTAAGAATGAGATTCGGTTTTTAATAAAGTCATGAAGACCTTTTAATGGCCGATTTGTCGTTATCTACAGTTATTTTCTGCGTCTTGTAAACAACAAATTCCAACAACAGTTTTTACTTTTGTAAGAGCGCTAAGTCTGAAGGTTTATATATCGATAAAAACCGGGTTTCGATACTCGTGATGGGCACAGCAAAGATAGCCCATTGTATAGTGTTGTGCTTAAGAAATCAAGACAGATGAAGTAAAAAGTACAGAAGTCTTAAACTCTTGTTTATCTTTTTTGTAAAGCGTTATGTGGCTTAATTTGTCTTGCTTGTTTTGTTTACAAACTAATAATGACGATATTTTGTTAGGAAGATTCCCAAAGAACTGCCTGTCATCTTTAATTCTGAACTGATAGACTAGAGAGAAGGCAGTGAGACAACAGCATTAGTGTCAAGTGTACTCGCAGCTTAAAGACCGAAACGCGTTTACTGCAGCAAAGGGACGCGAAACACGAACCCTCGAATTCACAATTCGAGCACGATTTATAATTGGTCATGCTTACCCACATATTAAGAAGCACGATAGACAGTAATTATCCAGTGTTTACAAGTAATATTTCAGTACGTTTTCTCAGTGGAAAAAGCATAAAATTATATTTTTTTATTTAAAAACAAACATAAATCAAAATCACCCGAAGTTATCAGTGCCCCTCTTCTAACAGCGTGTTTGTGTTTTTCAGTTTTTGGCAGCAACTTTACTTAAGAGGATATACGGTTTGATTTTGTATGATTGATTGTTTAATAACTTAATAAACCGAGTGAGATCACAAGTGGCCTAGCTCAGATTTTTACTTTTATTTTCAAGAACTATTTTAAATAAATTCAAAGTAAGAGCTTGTCATTCTATCGAGTGTCTTTCCAGGTTCAGATCATTAAATTTATATTGTTCATAAATTCAGTAATATCTTTGAAACTTCGTGACTGATTGTATTTCTCTTATTACTTTTATCTCGTATTTTTTATAACGGACTCGTGATTTCAAAGAAACCGTTCCACAATTGTTCGAGTGTCAATAAGACTTGATCCTTCATTTTATGCTGCTTTATTGCAATCGAAATTTATTATCAACACCTCGCGATAGGCATGTTCATCTATAATCTAACAAAACCAGGTAATAGTTATAACTGATAGTGTAGGATTTTTTGGTGATAACGTAAATAGCGGTAGGCCTAACCGTACATCTGAAAACAGTGAAACCGCTTAACCCTAGCTAAATAAAGTTATTTAAAACAATGCGAGAATAGGAAGATGTACTACAACAGATAATCCAATGTATACATAATTGTTTATTTGTTTGTAATTAAGCACGAAGCTACACAATGGGCTATCTGTGCTCTGTCCACCACGGGTATCGAAACCTGGTTTCTAGCGTTGTAAGTCCGCAGATATACCGCTGTGCCACTGGGGAGCGAACTATATTTAATGGAAGTGTGTCATACAATACCAGAGATAATCCACTTTGTGTTATCTATAAAACTGGCTCTAGGTGGTCCAAAGTTTTGTCGTGTAAGTAATGTCAACATAATATACAAGTAAACAATAATGTAGCTGAAATTTTTAACTATAGCAACACCTAACTGTAACATGGGCTAAAAAGTCAGGTCATTGCGATTCACCCGTCCCTAATTTAGCAGTGAAAGACTAGAGGGAAGGCAGCTGGTCATCACCACCCACCGCCAACTCTTGGGTTACTCTTCTATTAAAGCAAGGGTCACCAAACTTTTCACAGCGGGCTAGATAACTGAGAGAATGACGAGCGCGGGCCGCATAACCTTTTTGTTCAATACAATAC